AAAAAAAAACACAGCAGGGTGTCTACTTTTCAGAAATGGGTCTTTTTGGGGGGCGGGAGGGGGTGGGTATTACTACTGTTCTGGCATTTTTGCAGCATGGTACACCCCCTTCCTTTCCAGTGCTTTAGGAGTTTGACATTTAGCGTAACCAAATACATTTTATATCTTTTTTTCCGATGGAGCTGTAAAAGGCCAGACATTTTGGGGAAAGTCTTTTTCTCTGCTTGCCATGATGACCCTCTTGAAATCCTGATCTGAATACTTATTCCTGGTCTGTAACTCCAGAGGTTTTGAAAGCAGACACAGCCAGGCACCAAGCATTTTCAAATGGAGTGAGCCAGCGTTCACATTTTGTTAGCATAAGCATACTTTAATCTATTCCTTTTAAAGTAAAATATTGTAAAAGCAGCCATGTTTTATTGAGATAAATTTATACAAACAGGAAGACACCAGCTTGTCAGATAATGAGGCCCATGTATGAAAGCAGAACTCTGATGCTAATGGCAACCAGCCGGATGCCCCCTGTGATTTGTCTGTGGGGTTTCTATTGGCCACCAGATACTTCATCACTTGTGAGCCCGAACATTTATGATGACTGCAAATAGCTTAACAGTTCTAGTTGATTTACCTCTGTATTGCAACATTTTCTACTAGTGAACACTCACTAACAGATTTAAACAAGTATTGTCCTTCACTGAACATCTTCCAGTCTGTTCCAAAAACACAACCTCTCTCTTTCTAAAATATATTTATATATTATATACAGTCCTCTTGTGATAGTATATTTACAGTGATAACAGGGGAGCTGCCCCTCCCCAAAATAGCTGGAACAGTATATTGGTTAATCATCCTTCAGATGATTGAGTGCACATCACATACAGGCCAAGGAATCTTACACAATGTAATACCGAGACTGCACTGTGATAAAACGAATACAAATCGTGCTGCGGTTCACTGCGTTCACAATAAGCAGTTAAAAGACCTTCTTAGAATCCAGCTGTCCATTTCCAGGGGGTGCTGTGATCTGCAGCCTTTTGCACACTGATGTGTATGGAGCCTGAGGCAGCAGGCTGAGCAGTCCTTAGTGTCAAGGGGCTACTGTATGCAATCCATGACATGAATCTGCAGCGTGTCCATATCTGGGGCTTTGTACTGACACTTGGGGCACCGATACTCCTGAGGTTCTACCATAGTATGAAAGGAAGCAGTTGGAACAGAGTATGGCAGAGGGTAGATTGCTGAAAAAGAGAATATACATAATTAGTGTTCCATAGTTTCAGCCTGTGTCTTTATTCAAGCTCACAGACTGTGTGTGTGTCTAGGAATTCCCATAACCCTGTATGTTTTGTTAACTGAAAAATACATCCAAGTTTTTTTTTTTTAAAGCTGTTTGTTATTTGCTGACACAGCGATCTGTGTAAGTGAATTCCACATTTGTTTTCCTACTCACTGTAAAGTACCCCCTGTGCAGCTTAAGATTATACCGCATCCCCCTCCTACTTCTTGTTGTGCCCTCACGTCTTCCTCAAAGTTCTCGGTTTAAGGAGTGTATTCCCAATACTGCTGTCACCATTGATAAGTTTGTAAATTGTGATCTTGTCTCCCCTTAAGGGTCTCTTTCCCACGGAAAACAAAATGTAATTTTTGTAGGCCTTGATAACTCAGACCCTCCATCCCTCTTATTAATTTAGTTGCCCTTCTCTGAACTTTTCCCTAGTTCATGGACTTCCCGCCTTAGGACCAAAATTTTACTGCGTACACAAGATGGGGGCCTTACCAGTGTTTTGTGGTAAAATTACATTTCTTTCCCTTGTTCCTCTTCATACCAGTTAGTATTCTACTCCCTTTATTGGATGCAGCTTGGATGCATCTGGTCTATAAAAGGACCTGAAGATCCTTAATTCCTGATTTCTCCAGCAAACTCCTCCCAAAGCGTAGTCTACATGCATGTCTTTGCTCCCAAGTGCAGGACTTTACATTTATCTAGCCTAAAACTCATCTGCTATGTTGCTGCCCACGCCTCAATTCTACCAATTTTTAGTTGCTTCAGGGATTCTATGTATTGCAAATTAAAATTCCAAACTAAAAAATGAATGCAAAGATAAATCAGTGTCACTTACATGGTTGGTTTGGTCGTACACTTTCAGCATGCCTGTTCTTCATCTCTTCCATCCTAGTCCTGAAAACACACAGTAGTTTAGCATGCATACCCAACTCTTAGTAGCAGTATATGGGAACAGACAGATCCGTCTTCCCTACACTTGCTCCTTTACCATTCTCTCTTTAGTTCATCCAGTTGTTCCTGCAGCTGCTCCTTTTCTGCATGGAGCCGTTCCCTTGCCTGCCGCTCTGCCTGGAAATCTGCACAATAAATATCTGCCTGAAAGGGTAAAAAAATAAAATGCTCAGCATTTGACATACACAGAAACTAAAGAACAGCATGTGCCCCAAGATAGGAATACAAGTTTGTTTTCCAGCTCTAGTCACTGACAGCACAAAATGTGCCAGCTTACAGGAAGTCTATACCAAATAAATAAGTAGGCTGCCATTCATGAACTGGGAGAAGTGTGCTGACTTTTAGGGCTGCAACAGCCAATTGACTAAATCGATTAAAAAAAGTTGTCAACGTTTTTAATCATAGATTAACCTGCTTCGATTAGTTGGCCCTGTTCACTGCTCCACCGCACTTCCTCCCCACCTCACGCTCGCCGCTACCAGACCTGCCCGCCCGCCGCACCTTCTGCCCACAGGGATGCAGTCATTCACCAAGTAGTAAAGAAATTTGTTTTTTTTTTTAGGCCATTTGCTTTTCCCCTCCAGTATAAACATGACCGGATAGCAGCACTTTTTTTTTTTTGAACATGAGCACTGTAGGCTTGCTTACCTGGGCTCTGAGCAGGACAATTGTCTCTTTCAGGCTCTTCTGCTCATCCGTTTCAATCTTTAGTTTGTCTATGAGTTCTTGTTTGGCTACTAAAGCCTCTTCTGCCTCCTGCAGCTGTTGCTTTAGTTCTTGCAGCTGAAGGTCCATGCCCTGTTTAAGGTAAATTCCATGTTAGTGAAACCATTTTCAGAACTAGCCACTCCAGTGATAGCTGGGATACTTCTCACCTTCATGAGTTTTTCTTGGTGAAGGCCATTCTTGATGTGTGCATCGTATTCTTGAAATAGCTTGTGATATGCAGCCTGAAGTTGGGCCAGCTTTCTCCTACAAAACAAAAGGTTTACGCTCAGTTGGACTAACCACCACAATATGATTTATCAGAAACATTTCTCTAAATCTCTCTTCACATATTTTGGGGTGGCAACTAAACTCTGACTAACCAAAACACAAGAATAAAAGTCCGCACCGCCGGAAGCAGAAAAAATACCAGTATAATAATCAGCTGGCATGTGGTGTTATAATCCTAAACCCCCAAGAAGTAATTCCAATCCCCCCCCCCCCCCCAGCCTACG